TACATCATCCATAATTATAAACTTACAATACAAAATAAACGCATGCTAACTATATTTTTGCTCATTTGCCCTCCAGCACCAATCACAAGACTTAAACAAATTGAATTTTTATTTTTAAAGAAAAATTTTCTTAGATAAAGAAATAATTTTACTAATTTTTTTCTTTATTCATTTGCTCCTGATAGCATCCACTGATTTTGATTTGAGAATCTGGGATTAAAACTAGAGTTCAAACTCCACTTAACTTTTAAGTTTTAATATACCAAAAAAAATTTATCATTTCAAAATTGACAGTTTAACAATTCTAGACATTTGTAGTAAAATAAAATCACAGTCGGTATTTTGGGGTTGTTTGTTAATTCTTTCAACACTACATGAATATTCCGGTGAGAATTCCGGGAATGTGATCGGTGAAAAAAAAAAAAAAAGTAGTTGCAAGAAAATTGTCACAAGCCACGCTGACCTTTTTCTTTGAATGAGGTGAAATTGTTAAACCATTGCTTCCATGGAGCATCCTGCTGTTGCTCGAGCCACGACAAGAAGGCACTGTCTAATAAGCAGAAGAAGTTGACATAGAGGAGTTGGTATCTCACTGGAACATACCGGAAATTTGCAACCTGAAGTATAGGCCATACACCACCTTCCAAGACCAAGGCTGGGAGGAAATCCCTCTTCACATCTTCCTTCACTTGAGCAACATTCTTGCCAGCAGAAAACCCCATGTAAGTGAAAAATACAAACAGATCCAAAGGGCCAAAAATGAGTCCATCCATTGCTACTTTTGTACCCACAAACTTCACTGACTTTGGTTCGTAACAAAGCCTTAGCCTTATTAATCTGTCCAAACCTTCATACCTGCAACAAAAAAAATGCTAATGTTTAGGGTACAATGATTGATCCTCTTACATACAATAATTTCACAAGGTGATCTAACTGTGAATCTCAATTTGATAGTAACTGAGTATCTTAGCCCGTGTTGAACATACATCCAGCGATAGATACAATGTTAATTTATCATTGAGGCTTAGAGACATGTTTTACCACAAGCTGACAATGAAAAGATAATAAATTGTAATCTCAACAAAGAGCATCATTAGATCAATTAATAAAAGACAGCCTAGGAACAGATTTCTATCTTTTTGAAAGAACAAATCAATCTAAAACAAATTTTTAAATCCAAATTGACATTTTTAGAGTTAAAAACCATTTACCATGAGAACATCTACTACATGCAGATCAGGATTTTAAATTGAGGAAATGCATCAAATTTCCTGATTTTATACATGGATATCCTTGCTATGAGGTGGCTTCTAACCAGTTTCAAGGTTATGATGCCAACTACTTCGCCAATTATAAGCAACTGAATGTAGAGAGGTGTTCAATATGCAGAATTTTTGTTCTAAGAAGCGATTTAATCTCAACAGAAACCTTGTATGCTTGGATGCATGCTGTAATATGCATATTATGCTTATTATGATACTGTTTCAAAGTGGAAACATGCAATGACATTCAGAACAAAATTACCTAGGTGCTTATTATTACATTACATATGAGTGGAGAAAGTCAGAAGCTCTCGACCTGACTACCATCCATTTCTAAGAATAATCCTCGGAAAGGAAAGTGGTTAAATGCACTGAGTCCTTTTTAAAGAAGTGCTCTATAAACAGAGTGCTAAATCAGCTTAATAAAACCAGGCTAAATGACCAATAGGAAAGGAACAGAGTAGGAAAAACGAACCAGAAGTGGCCAACTGGTCCAACAAAGCCAAATCCAAACATACTCGTGGTGGCTACTCGTTTCCAATCAATTTTAAATTCTCCATCTGCATCCTGATAAATGAAATGTTTATTACAGACTCACTAGTATGACAGGAAAGCATTGATTCAATTCCAATCTTCAGTGAACTTGTAACCTATACAATTGTGATTCTGATCAAATTTTCACGAACAAAGAACAAAATAAACAAAGCAGATGTCCATTCTATACAAGAGCTGTTACGGATCAGTTTGGATAATGTAATGGACTAAAATCAAGACACGAGACTGTAAAAATACAGAAGCTGACAGGTTATAGAGACAAAAGAAAAAGAATGCATTGAACACTATTATACACTCTAGGCTGATTCACCTTCAGCATGCTGGAATATCTAATTAGGGTCACTCAAATATAGAGGAAGCTAGGGGAAACATATAACCAATTAACTACGCATTTGCAAAGAATTGATGTTTCCTGGAGAGCGTTAGGTTCAAGAAATGGAAACTCTTAAACATAACCAGTTGCCTAAACAACATCTATTAGTTACATGATTGAAACCTGATTGACGAAGCTAAATTTTGAAGTTTGGGTAAGAGGAAACCTTTTGATTCTTGATCCAAAACTTTAAGAAAAGGAAGGTGAATTACAATTCACATGAAATATGAAGATTATTAACTCTAGTAAAGAGTAATTATGGTTGACCACAATGAAATATACTTTGATAGATTTGCATTATTTAGCATTGCAGTTCGTGCTTAATGCATCCTAAGACATCATTGTAAATGCATCATGAGATTATGAATGCATGCTATCCACATAAGCATAAATCCAAAGGATGCAAAATAACTAATAGTCAAGCAAGTGTACAAAGTAATCCCCAATTCATCTCCTGCAAATTACAATTCTTTGATTAACAAACATTAAGCAGAAAAACAAAACCGAAGCATTAAATCCATTGCAGCAATGAACTATGGACATGAAGTGATGCTAACTATGATAAAACCACTGGTTGAATTACTTAAAACAGCTACACATAAATGTCAGTTAGGAGATAGGACCGTCATCAGATACAACCCAAATTACAGCCCAATGAATGTTTAAATTATTCCTTAAACATTCATATCTTCATATGCCATGTAAAAGTAAAACACAATGTAACTAATCACAGTTCACTAACAACCAGATATCAAAAAGCACATACAATCTGCATTACTTATCTTACAAAGGAGCAGTGGAATGTCCCATACAAACAAACATTTGATATTAAAGGGATTTTGAATTTAGAGGAATAGCCAGGCACCAGAGTAAAACTACAGGTGATATTTCCCAATAAACGCCATTGAAGGTTTCAGTGGAAAGAACCCAGATGAAATAGTCAATTCAGATACACAAAAAACGCTGTCAAATGAATACCCAATAGCTCAGATGGGTCCAAAGTCCAAACCAGCCATAGATTGTATCAAAATCAGAACAAAACAATAGAAAAATGGGGAGAAGAAGATGGGAAACGGAGCTCACAGGAGATTGAAGTCGGTTCTTAACTGTAGAGTGGGTGATATATTGAGCGGCAATATCGCCAATGCCCCAGAGACACCCTGAGCTGATTACCTGCGTCTTCACTGGATGAAGAGACATACAGCTTTGGTACCATTTCCATAGCTTGAACATCGTTTTTATCAGAGAAAATGGGAGATGCAACGATGGAGTTGGATATGTAGGATTTATGGATTAGAGTGAGAAAATGCAACAGAATTTGGGAACCGATGTGACTACTCAGAGGAGATATGCCGACTAGTCAGACTCAGATTTCCATTTACCAAAAACAAAAACAAAAGTCGGACTCAGATTTCCATTTACCAAAAAAAAAAAAATCAATTCACAAAAAATATATATATTTTGCAGAAATATACAAAATTAAAAAACAAAAATTTTTAAATGAAAGAGGGTAGTGACTTTTTTTGAGGTATAATTTAAATTGTAAAATAATAAAAATATATTTTTATATTTAAATTGCATAAAAAAATATAATCCTAATTATGAATTTATCAAAATATCTTTAATAAGACATTTTTTTATATTAATTTATTAAAAATATTTTAATAATTTTGAT